ATGCCTATTCCTATCCCTTCGGTAAGCAGCATACTCTGGCGGAAACACCAGCCGAGTGCAGCTGTAGCCTCCACCATGGTAAAGAAAAACTAGCGCCACGAGGCGCTAGTGGCAGAAAGGCGAACATACGTATGGTCGGAGATTAAAATCGGTCTCGAAAGGCTGCCAGATGGCACCACCACTGCCGTTGGCGTGCGCCCTCCGTCCTCCTTCCCCCCCCCCCCCCCCCCCGGGTTTTTTTTTCTTTTTTTTTTTTTTTTCTGGTTTGTTTGCTAGGCTGGTCGCTGTGAGCGGCCAGCACGGCACCGGTCTAGCAGACGAGCCGCGCGCGATATACTTCACAACAACTGCGCTTCACGTGATATTACCAGTGCAATCAAACAGAAACAGCACGTTCATTTAAATGTATTTTTTTATTGAACCCCATTCAAATGAGTTGCGGTACTTCAAACACGCATCTACAAACTCCGTTGGAAGTCCACCGCCCTCAAAGGGGAACCAAGAACTGTAGTAGGCAGTAAACACAGTAAAGTTGTCAAACATGTAAAACTAAATTAATTACTTTAATGTACAAACTAAGAGAATAGCACTTATCATCGAATTATCTAAATGCTCTATAAACAACTCCCACAAACTAAACTTCTGAATACCCAAACAAACAAATCAACAGCGAAATAAAGGAAAAGGCTTGCAGGTGAGCTGCATAAGAATAAACGATGAATAAACCATAAACAAACTCGCTAATAGGCAATGCAATTAAGAAAGAACTACTGTTTTGGAGTGTCTACATCTCTGACTGTAGGTGCTTTATCGGTACTTTATCCTAACATATAAACACGAAGCTGTCAAATTAACTGAAGATTGCTCTGACAGCAACTCACCCAGAGGAGCAAGTCCTTGCAGCAACGGATTCGTAACAAGAACGGTGGGGCACGCGTTTTTCCACAAACGAATCTTCCCACAACTTGCAAACACGGTAGCGCCGAAGTGCTCGCTGCACAAACGACCCTGGCGCAGCTTGCTCGTCGGCAAGCCGGGCAGGCTTCCAAAGTCCTGGCGATTTGCATACGCAATCCATTTCGATCCTCTGATGGAAAAGTCGAGTTTCGAACGCTGACAAAAAAAAATTGATATAGAAGTTCACCTGTCGTCTGTTGGAAAGCGGAAGAATGAGCACTCCGAGGTTACTTCGCCGCGCTGTAGACTCCGTAATACGCCGTCATGAGGCACGCAAAACACTCGGCAAAATCTCTGTCAAATTAGAGACGTACATCTCTAATTATTATAAGCGCGCAGCAGCGTCGCACCGTACTGCATACTGCCGTATAATCCGCACTTTCGATTTTAGCACGCGCGGAACGGTTTGAAAGCTTGGAGTGACGAGCGAGCGCAAACAAAACTAAAAAGACAAAAACGGTCGTTTCCCTTCGCTCTTACTGATTGGTCGGAAGAGCCCAGAGTGCTTCGCTTTCGGTAGCGAAGATCATATACACGTCGCCTGCGCTGAAAATCATAGCGGCGAATATGAGCATAACAGTTTGGTCGGAGTCGGCTGGGTAGACCTACGAATCTGCTCTCTGGATGGACGTACAAGAGAGAAGCCAGCGACGCGGCGCCCCTATCGGCCCAACCGGGAACTCCGGAGCTGCATTCGGATGGAAACACCTCTGCATCATCGATAGTGTCATCAAGCCAGGATTCTGTATACAGAATCCTGGCTTGGTATACCAATAACAACACTAGGAGCGGTAGTGTTAATTAAGTCGGCAAAGTCATCAACTTTATTTTTTATGCTACGACAATTCACAAGGAGTACAACTAGTTCATTCACTGCTGTGGTCTTTTTAGCACAATTCCCAGGAAGATGAACTGGTTGCTATGCTGGTCTTTCTTTTACACTCATGTCTGTTTGATCAAAATAGTAAGATTTTTGACCCATTAATAATTTGTTGAAACGTAGTTGAAATGGGATATTTTGGGCCTTGGCGTATTCAAGAAGCTTCCTCCTATCCTGACGGAAAGATTCAGAGAAGTCCTCTCGAACCGATATTCCACTGTCTTTGAATCTAAGTCCCTGTGACAGTATGCCTTGTTTTGTTTTAAAAGAAGAAAAGCTAACAAGTATTGGCTTGGCCTACATTTTCCTGCGTTAAATCGGCCAAGTCGTTGAGCACGTTCAATATGCGGATCTTCGAGTTTGAGTCCCAACAGATTATTGCACGTTTTCGCCACTTTTGCTTCAAATATTGCCCATGTTTCATTTGCATCCTCGTCGATGCCGTAAAAGATTAGATTGTTTCGCCGGGAGCGGTTTTCTAAATCATCGTGGCTGGTAGTTAGGTGACACAACTGCTCAGAAAATGCAGTCGACGTGGCCTGCATACTTCGTACTTCCGTATCAAGGGTTTTTAATGAAGCGACATCTTTTTTTAGAGATTTAAGCGCCACCGACAGTGACGACAGCTTTTCATCAGCCGATATTTGCTGTTGTCTAATTGCTGTCATTTCTATTAGAGGAACGTCTTGCATAGTTTTTATGCTCGATAGCAACTCCATCACTTCGAGCACTCTGTCTACTTGTTCTTGGGTAAAGGAACCCGGGTTGACCTTAAGATCACCGGATACAATCAGCAGCATTCTAATGAAAACAGACAGCGCGCAACAGAGCGCGTACACAACACAAAGACGTTTTGCGTCAATATCGCGGAATACAAGGGCAAAGAGGCGCGGCATCGACAAGGCACATCTGTTGCTGCGATAAGATTCAGGTTTGTAGACCAGACCAACTTGAAGAAGAATCCGACGTGAGCGGCTTGAGGACGACATGTCGATGCCGAGCCCCGCCTCGAAAGTGCCGCGGAGCTGGTTTTGTAGGCTGTGGTCACGTGTCAGCAGTGCAGGTTGCCAGGCTGTCCCTCCGAGACCGGACAGATCCAGCGGGGATGGTGCCAGGCAGTCGGCTTGCGGTTGGGGCGTAGTCCCAACTTTGTTGGATGGTGGTTGGCAATCGACGCTTCAGTAGGGCCGGGTGTGGATCAGAGAGGCAACAAGGAGTACCTGAAGAAGAATCCGACGTGAGCGGCTTGCGCACGACATGTCGATGCCGAGCCCCGCCTCGAAGAGCCGAGTGACGTATCTCTGTCACAGCAGCGAACTTCTTTTTATCGAAACGAATCTCCTTGCTAACGATTCTGTGTCCCAAGAACGAGATATCGGTAACACTAAACTCACACTTATTGCGAATTACAGTAATTCCAGCTGTCTGAACGCGTTTTGGCACAGCCCGAAGCCGGTTGTCTTGATGTGCTTCCGTCACTTCCACATAAGCACGTCGTACATGTGGCAAACGACTCCTTCCAGTCCCGACAAGACTTGCCTCATGCGCCTTTGGAAATGCTCTTGGGCTGATGAAATGCCAAAAGGCAGTTTGTTAAAAGAATATCGTTCAAGCGGCGGGATAAACGTGGTGAACTCTTTGCTCCCCTCACTCAAAGGTATTTTACAGAAACCAGAGTTTGCATCCAGTTTCGAGAAGTTACTGGCTCCTCCAAAACAAGGCCACATGAACCCTACGAGGGGACGTCAAAGCGAAGGGTTTCACCTCCGGCTTCAACTTCAGGTTGAATGTTGCAAGCCCCTGGAACGCTTGTGAAGAGTCGGACTGGGGGATAGGATTTTTGACGCGTTTGATTTGTAAAAATACAGAGAGCCTTTTTGTTGCTGGTCTTCCCAGTAGAGGGGTTTAGAGGCCCCGAAGAACTACACTTCTTCACAACTGGTGTTTCCTGCAAATGTCATGTTCATGGATGCCACACCTGATATAGCAAGAGGTTTACCGCCTGTTCCATGAAGCCGGCGCCTTGCGGGCTGAAGTTTTGTCGTAAGAAAGGGTCGAGCGAAGAGCTCTTCTGAGATGACAGTTTCGTCTGCCCCGATGTCGATCTTGAAAACCACGTTCGAGGACTCGATGAGAACACAAACCTCCCACCTTGAGGCAGATGGATGAGGTGCAACTCCAAGAAAGCCTTCGGCGACGTTGTCCACGTTTCTGACCACTCTCGTTGAACGACACACGGCCTCAAAGTATCTTTTTTTGTCGTATCTTCTGAAGACCGCTTCTTTCGCCGGACAAGATGATCGATTGTGTTGAGGTCTTTCGCACCAGCCACACAGTCTGGAGGAGAAGCCTCCACTTCAACCCTAAGGGGCTTTCTTTATTAAGTTTCCCGCACTTCTCTTGGACTGCGCATGGTTGACTTGCTCGTCTCGCACGCCGTGGAGCTCTACCTTCTGTTGATTGACGGTTTCGTGTTGGCGTGCCACCAGGAGTGCTTTCTGCAGGTTAAGGTCAGGATCGAGCTGCAAAGCTCTGGAAATCTTGCGGTCTTGAAGGCCAACCACAAGACGATTTCGGATTAGATCTTCACGCAGGTCCCCGCAGTCGCAAATAGTAAAAAGGGCATGCAACGCGGTAACAAAATATTCAACAAATTCGCCGTCTTGTTGCGTTCTGGAGTTAAACTTCACCCGTTTATAAATGATGCCCGCCTTGCAATAAAGTGAGCCTGGTATGCTTTAGTGTTACCTCAAACGTATTTGGTTCCGCCGGCTCAGGCTTGAAAGTGTTAAAGCTCGCCTCTGGTTGCGGAAACATTAGGTAGATAAACCCGCCGGCTTGACTTGCTTCCGACTTCGCGTCCACTCCAGATGCCATACGGAACCGAGTAAATCGTTTCATTCACGAGCACCAGTCTTTAGTGCAGCAAAGCTGTGACGGCTTTAGAACGTTCAGCTGGTATTCAAGTAAACGCTGCAAAGCTGAATGCTTGGGATAGAAAAATTTGGAATGAAGCCATCTTACTTGAGGTAGTTCTTGGTGACGTAAGTGTAGAGTTGCGCGACGGCTGACTCTGCCGAGTGGGAATGCAATGTCCTTGTTTCATGGTTTGTCCGACGTCCGGTAGCCGTGGTTCCTCAGCCTGGACGCCACTTCTGACATCATGATTCCTACGTTCCAAGCAATACACAAAGACGTGCGTTTGGGAACTCCAACAAACAACAAGAAGGTTCATTATCAGGAAAAAGCGGCTTTTATAATCCCCGCCAATAGCACTGAAGCGGTACTCTAACTGCTAACTCAGCCTAAGCCGACGAACAGATTTATCACACAACGCCAGACTACGTTCTTTGTAAAAATATTAAAAGATGTCTCAGCCGGTTGTGGTGTCTATATTCATTCCGGTTTTTGTTTGAATATGCTTTAAACATCAGTTTGATTCCCGTAAAGAATGTATATCTTTAAGAATTGTGGAGCGACTAATGTTTCGGAAAGAGAAAGTTAATCGCTAAAATGCACGGACGCAGCAAATTAAGAGGCTGCTAATAGAACAAAAAACAACGTATGATTTGTAGCGGATGCTGAAACTTAATCGAAGCGCAAGTTCGTCTGCTTCTTGCAGAGGGGTCGCAGTGATGTCAGAACGCCAAGCTCTTATTGGCTCATCAAAATAAATAGCGGGTAGACCTTAAGGCATCTTGCATTGAGGTCTACCCACAATCATTGCCAGCAAAGCCAATAAGAACTCAGACTCGTTGTGACGTCACCGAACTCCTCTGCAAGAAGGAGGTGGCTCGCTCCCTGGATTACCACAGTGCAGACTGGTCTAAATACAGCAATGTCTTTGGCCTTCTTTTCCGCCTTAAAGTATTGGCACGCGGGAAAGTAGACGCCCTGGATTTATTAGAGTGTGCAATTGCATTTAACATTCTGTTAGTTTCTACGACCAGTCTAAGAAACTGATAACATATGCGAAGCCCACTAACTTGACACAAATAAGAGTTGTTTCTTCCAGGCGGACACGGTGGTACAAAAGCTTGCAGCTGAGATTATAAAGACGGCGAGCAAAGATGACCTAGCCAGAAAACGACCGGCGTCTTCGAAGGATCACTCGCCAACAGCTTCGCCGCTCATCGACCAGAATACGGTAAACGACCCGCTCAACTAACACCGCCTAGAATAATCAAAACCTCGTGCACTATGACCAGAAACAGAACCAGAGCGGTGTGTCTTTCTCCAGCACGCGTTGAACGCCTTACACAGTGTTTTGGCTGCGTGCACTCGCTCGAGGGGCACGAGATGCAGAAGCGTTGTCGAAAGGTAGGAAGCTCGCGCTGGAAACATAAAGGTCCTCTCCACATCCCTCACTTCGTCCGTGACCAAAGCGTTGAGACGTGAGCACAGGGAGACCGAGGGCACACACCAATGAGACACGAATGCCGCGTCATTGATCGGCTGGGCCTCATAATACGTCGAAGGACGCTCGGCCCCCCGATTTCTGAATTGACACCTTCCGAGTGGGATATGATGTAAGGTGGAGGTACAGCTGCCTGGATCACGTCTCCAGATAGTCTATTTATCGCGCCCCCCCCCCCCCCCCAAAAAAAAAAAAAAAAACGTGCTCCTCCAATTTATGTTTGATGGCGTCATAAAAGTGTCACTCTGTCGCCAGCAGCGATCCTGGCGGTGTCGCAGAAATGGGGGTGGATGCGGCAGATGTCTGATCGCTCCAGTTTGACAGTCCACGGAAGCTTCGGTAACCAGGAGTTGGCACGCCGTGACGACAGCGACACCCGAATTCGCTCGTTCTTTTTGCCGGCACGTCTACGACCAACCGCCAGGATCGCGACATCCGACAGCATGACACTCCGGCTTTTGGGACGTCCTTGGTTGCCATTCCGGGACCAGTTCCGATGCGTGGTCCGAAAAGGACGCTACATACACACCCGTCAAAGACGCGTTCCAGGCACCGTAGCGGAGCAAACTGTTTACAAGCTTCGATTATCTCGAGTGATGTTGACTAAACCAGCGTGACAATTAAAACAAAATGTGATTCAATGCTTTTTTTTTTTTGTCGTGTATGTTTTGGTCAAGAAACGCTCAGACACCATGATCTGTGCGTTATGTACATTTCGTCGTTTTTCGGTGGGCAGCCAGTTCAATTTTTGGTTTTGTTCTTTTACGAACAAAATTTTATTCAGTCTAAATAAATGTTGTCTTCAACTTTAAGAAAGACAGAGCTCAGCAAGTCCCAAGCATGTTATGCCGCAGCCTGTGGGACTGGGGCATTCGCCATTAAGAACGTCGTGAAACGAATCACGAGATCGTGTTGTGAGCGTTCTTTAAGCTGCCAAACCCATTTTGACCAACAACAAAGTCGCGCCTCTGATCGAAAAAAAAATCCCTCTGAAACCTCTAATTTATTTAGTCTGACACGCTGGAAGTAGAACTAAATGCGGAGAGCAAGTCGTCTGCTTCATGCACAGGAGTTGCGGTGACGTCAAACTGATTCCGAGCTCTGATTGGCTTTGATTGAAAGGATAGTGGGTAGACCTCAATGTTAGATGCCTCGAGATCTACCCGCTATTTTTTTCAATCAGCCAATAAGAGCACTCGGCGTTCTGACATACTCGCAACCCCTGTGGAAGAAGCAGACGAACTTGCGCTCCACATAGAACCGTAATCCTTAAAGTAAATTACTAAACAGGGATTTTAAAAACCGGAAGCACCTGGCCACTTCGTATCCAGTCGAGTCACGTGATTTGTCTGTGTGACGTCATAAGAATACGCTCACACGCGAGAGACGTATACGCTTTCTCTTTTACATCGATTTTTGTCGTTTTAGTAACACAAATCGCAGTAAAGGTACGCCCAGAGAACGCGATCGTGTCGTTAAAACAAATGGCGTACTTAATTCATTCGAACAACATGAGCCAAAAAACAACCACGAGCGACAACGAGCCGAAAACATCGGCGCCTGCACATAAAAAGCCTAAACTTTCACCGAATGTGCACTGAGCACGTCAGTTTTATTCTGTGAAACTTAAAGGCTCTTCCTGGGGGGTAAAAAGTGGGAGCAAAAACAAATGCATGACAAATTGCTAGGCAATTGTGTTGCATGCGTGAAACTAAATGTAGGCGTCAAGTTGCGCGTGCAAGACGACAGGCTCAAGGCCAGCGTTAGGAGCGCAGAAAGGAGGCTGAGCGGGCCAGACAAGCTGCTAAACTTACCATCCGAGAATACAAAACAGAAGACAATACAAAATCTTCGCTTCTTTTTCGGGGTGAGCGAGCGTGCAACGTGACAGAATTTGATATTCGAATTTTCTACTGGGAGCAGCTGTAGCTAGTGATGACCATTCCGGAAATTTTTAAGGCCGCGAAAAAACTACGAGAAAAACAAGTTTTTCCTGGAAGGTTTGGAATCATTTGAAAAATTGTCTGAACAGGAATAATCCAGGTATAACATAAAAGAGAGCAAAAAAGGCCAATAACGGCAAGAGGTTGTTTGTTTGTTTGCTTATTTCTTTGTTTGTTTTTTTAAGAATTCTTGGGGTTTAGTGTTACAATAATAATATTTTTAGCGTTAACGCGAACTTTTGTCAACTTAGAGGATTTTTCGCTACTCATCTGGCACCTGTCAGCAGGAGAGACTCTATCCAAAGTGTAACTCTAAAAGAATACAAGTCAATCCGCCGGTAGATCGCTTTAGCTTTACGAGCACTTGTGCGCGAGGTGCTAAGTTTTCAGAACTTGGGAGCGGCGTTTACTTGGATGTGTGTGAACTTACCGCTTACACGGTGAGACACCGTTCAAATATTTGGGCTAACTTCGATGTGCTCAACAATGGTAAATGGCCAGTATTGTGTAGATTTTGTTGTGCCAAGTACGAATTTGCATGTTTGAGGCATTGCCTGGCAAGTTGTCTCATGTGACCTCTGGACATTCAAACTGCTGCAGCATCAGCCAAATCGGCAGGATCGGAATACGGAATCATGTATCCCTCAAAGAGAAGCACTTCCGTGGAGGTTGTGCGGTCAGAACGTCCACCGCAAGAAAACTAAATTGCAAACTTTCGAAGAGAAACTGATGGTCCTATCAACCAGCATACTTTCATGCAAGCCTTTGTTGACAGAATTACATAGGAATGCCAATGAAAGCTTGATCAGGGCACTCGCGGGAGTGGTATATTCTAGTGGAACGTCTTTGTTAGTCACCGAAAATAGATACTAGAGGGCCCGTATATGCACGGCCCTCAAGGCACTCGTTAGGTGGTCGGCTATTGGAGGCGGAGTACGCCCGAGTAATGATATAGGTAGAAGACAAAATCAACTCCGCACTTAGGGTCGCCATACTCACGGACGACTGGACGAACGTACGAGGCATGTTGAACTTCGTGGTGATTACGTCAAAGCCGATACTCTACAACGCCGTAGAGACGGGATATTACAGGCACACCGGAGAATACATAAAAAAAGAGACATCGAAGATTATTAAAAAAAACTTGGAACAGGAACCGTTTTGCCCTGGTTACAGAAAACGCAAATAACACGAAGGCCGCATGAACAATCCTAGGTCAAAACTTTCTTCAGAGGACTACTATGGGATAGATTTCTTGTGTAATAAACTTGCTGTTTTTCGACTTTTTGAAGATAGTGACATGGCAGGAATTTCATTCGAAGTCCAAGTCTGTATTTAAGTACGTAAAGAACCCTGGTTGCGTAAAGAACCCTGGTCACCTGGTTGCGGCCCACTTTGCAAAGAAGCAAGAAGAGTGCGATGCTGGAAATCAAACAACACCTATGTCAGTATTAATTGAAAACGAGCGTGTTGGTGAATAAGTACGAATACTTGAAAGAATAAAACACCGAGGACGAGGGCGGAAACAGGACCTCTTTGAAAGAGGTCCTGTTTCCGTCCCCATCCTTGATGTTTTATTCTTTCAAGTATTGGCACCTAAGTTACCAGCTAAAACTCGCTGGGCGGGCATCTTGAGGTCACTGGGGCCTTGTGGAGAACAATAAAACTTAACGAAAAATCGTTTTCGTCACTGAACTTGAAGCGAGTAGAAAAAAAAGGAACAACGGTGTAAGACGAGTAGGACTTTTGGCGAGATATGCAGGGCGGTTTCCGCGTGTCGAAGCCAGTTGGCCACGATATTTATGAGGCTCAGTCAGACGCTGCTCTTCTGTCAGATATTCATGAGATCTTCTTGAATGTAACAAGACAAGTCGAAAAGCCCTTCCAGATTCTGCCTTAACTACCAACATAAAGGAAAGAGTATCAGAAATCATGCGTGTGACATAACTTCGTTTGTCGTCCAGCGCATGCGGCAGCAAGTTTGCTTGACCCGAAGTACAGATGAAGGGGCTTGAGGAAAGAAGATGAATGCCATGCTATGATTACATCACAGAAGTGGCAGGAAGGATAGGTCTTGATGCGAGAAAAGTGCCGTTCAATTTCGTAGAATACAGAACCCTGTGAAGTGCATGATCAAGAATGGAACTTGACGATTCGGCGAAGCATATCTCACTATCCACGTAATGGCAAGGGCTGTGTGCATCTGAGCCCCTGACTCCAATTGCCTGTCGCCTACTTCCAGTTCCACCATGCACCGCTGCGTGCGAACGAAGGTGGTCGGAGTTCGGCACTGTCCATACCAAAAGTAGGAACAGGCTTAAGGGACATAGAGTGCAAAAACTGTTGTTTGAAAGCTGCAACCTCTACCTGAAGGGCCTTGACCTGACATACGACGGCAGAAATGACTCAGCACAGATTCGGAGTACCCTTAATTAACCTATTGCTTTGTAACGTGCTTCTAGTTTGAGAGAATTAATCTAGTCAACAAATATGTACTTGGTCAATCGTTGTTTTTTTAATGTTTGGTGGTTTTGTTCTTAATAGTTACAGGTGAACCCTTGGAAGGAAGGAGATGATACAAGAAATCAGAGTTAAGCTTGCACTATTCTTAATCCATGTCTTCTTGTGTTTATACTGGAACGGTGAAGAATGGTTAGCATGAACCCTTAATTCGTCAATCATGATGTTATCTTACTCAAAAGTGTTCACTTGCCGGTGCAGTAGTTTCATTTATTTTTTTATTAAAAAATAGTATTCACTTGCCGGTGCAGTAGCGGATGCTAACTCGGTCGTCTGCGCACGCGCCCAACCTTGGCTTTGCCAAGTTGCTCGCTCTTGTTGTTTTACAGGAAGAGAGCTAAGCCTTGAAACTTCACACGGTTAAACTTACCTTCTCAGCGCACACTCAATGAAAATTCGAGCTTTCTTTATGTAGTTTCCGATTCTGCCGGCGCTGGTTTCTACGGCGGACATCCGCTTGGAACACCCTATATAGTCCTGTTCGAGGGTCATTGAAAAGTTGTTTTTAACAGCGCAAGCATGCTGATGAAAGTTACTTTGCTCGTGAACCTGGAGAAGAAAGTAAAGGTTCCTCGAAGGCATCTCCGACCGTTTCCCGCGTCCTCAAACGCGGTTATCAAGTTCCGCCGGCTGACGTCAAGAACTGTAGTCGCCCGTCCCGATCCTGGCGATGGCATGCTCCGGACGCCTGGTCTGTTGCAGCTCGCTTTCCAGCTTGGCTGTCCACTGAAGCCTCAGCAGTCGGGAGTTGGGACGCCGCGACGCCTTTTGCGTTCAGTCGTACCTTTTGTGGAAACTCTATCAACCGCCAGGATCGGGACATCTAAGAACATGCCATAGAGACCCTAATTTGAAGACAATGTCCGTTTCCAACCACGGGAACCGTTCGCAATTCAATGGCGGAAGCCTGTTTCGGAGATTCGTCGTAAGTAGGCATGCGCTGCGTTTTCGCGTGGCGAGGAGGAATGCGAACTGAAAGGCGGAAACTTTTGAGACGATCAACACTTTCGACATCTCCTGGCAGCTCGTATTGCAAACGAGGTCCATAAACTACCTGACCCCGATTAAGCAGTGGGGATCTCTCTGTAATACAACCCACGTTTACTTTTGTGAAGTTTTGGCCAAGGGGAGCGGGGATGCTGGGTTGGAGATGCGCTCCGGTAAAATAACCAAACCCTAGAAACGAGTCCAAAAGTATGATTACATCAGAACCCGATAAAATGCAGCGTGTGATTGGTAACATTCTAACGCGGGGGAATTTCGTAGTTTTAGATGATCCCTATAAAGTTTCATTTTGAAACCGTACCTTTAAAGCTAAAACCTAAAAATTTAATTACTAAAATTAATTAAATACTCAAATATACTGAAGACGAATAACTTTTCTTTATGTGCCTTCTGGCACAGAGCACTACGGCATCGATGTATTTCGGCGCGTAGGTTTGTCAGGATTGATTTGGCCCGCGTTCCCATAAATAACTTGTACCAGCGTGCCCTGGAGGTAATACAAATAAAGGACCTCGCTGCCGTTTGCATCCCGGGAGGGAGGGTGGTTTTCCAACGGTCTTGATCGCGGATGTCGCGCAGGGCGACCGCGAGTTCTTCAAGGAGCTGGAGCTGACCGAACATGCGGGTCAGCTGGAGAGCGTGCTGAAGAGCCTGGCCAGCAAGGGCTTCGGCCTGCGCATGTACGCCGTCGCCGGGGAGCAGGCCAAGCTGCTGCACGCAGACCTGGATGAGCAGCAGCGCATGGACCGCGTCCGACGTGTCGTGAGGACCTTTCGCTTCAAGCGCTGCCTAGAGTCACACTGCTAATACATGTCCGCGTGTCTGTCTCTTTTCCTCGTACAACATTCAGTCTGCAGACATGTTGCAAGCATGTAAGACATGCCCCACGCGTGCCCATCTCTTTTCTAGCGTGTATGAGCAGTGGGACGGCCCACACATTCGATTCACTGTGCCACAATTCCTGACGACAAGACATAAAAAAGCACTAGCGCCACTTTTTGCCTAAATCTTGTTTCCTGAGTTACGCATCATACTTTCCCCTTCCGCTTCCAAAATTATCGGCAATGATGTAAGCGACATTTGGCCTCGCAAATAACCAAAAAACTTCACTCCGTCGATATGCGCAGACGGGATGTGTTCCAGGAACTGGCCCACTGACAGATGCCGCCAGTGTGCCAGCGTCGTTCCTCGTGGGCTGAATCACACATTTGAGTTTCATCGACTGCCAGCGCAGCCGTTTCTCAACCGCCCGTCAAAGACAAGAGGACGCAACGGCACACTGTCGCCATCTCTGGAACACCTATCGTGTGCGTATAACTACAAACTCGAAGAATTCGCAGCATTGACGAGACTAACTTTATGAGAAATTATCAGTTATAACGTTGGCAGATTTATGTCAGGCACGCGAGGAAAAAATAACATATATGCAGATGAGATATGCTCCCCCGAAAAGCGACGCAAGTGTGTTCCTTCGTCGCAACCGGCCACAACCGGTTGCAAGGGTTGAATTAACACGAAAGAGCAACGCCCAACTAATCTGGTATTTCGGCGTTCTTTTTCCCGCAGTATCAAAAGGTGAAGGTAGTCTTCGAAACCGAACAGCAGAAGAAAGAGAGTCTGCAGAGCCAAGCGGCAGCCGCCAAGACGGCCTCCGCCGCCGCAGAGTTCAACGCCGGGTTAGCCAAGTCCGAGCAGCGGCTCAAGGGCCTTAATCTGGTCCTCCTCTACTACGCTTCCGGCCTCAAGTACCTGTACGAAGAGGCGGGCTCCGGGCAATCTGACCGCTCCAACCTGGCTGTCATTGACCAGAAAAGATGAAAGCCGCCTGATGGCCTCGTGTCTCCAGACAAAATATCCCCTCCCGTTTCTTTAAATTAATCATCAGAGACGCTTATACCGTTCTTGCGTTGTGCTGTCGCGTGTCTGTGATGTGTGTTCTTTAAACGGTGTCAATAGTCTTTATTCAATAGTCTAATTCAATACAAAATACCACCTCCGAATTTTGAAATTTATTATCAAAGACGCTCATACCGCACTTCCGTTGTGGCGTCCCCTGTTTGTGGTGTGTATTATTTAAATGGAGGCCATAGTCCTTTCTTTACCTATTGAAACACCAAGGATCAATAATACTAAGCATAATTCATATTATTATTATTACTTCGGACCTTTACAGCCGCGACACCACAGAAAGGCCAGAGGTTCGTACCTAAGAGCTCTGCAGTGATGCAAAATACTAGGGTGATGATGGTATGAATGTATACAGATGGTAAAGCTGCCTGACGATGACTACAATAGAGCTTGCACTTGAAAGTTGATTAAGTTGTGGTTATAGTTCCGGACCTCTATTTATCAACAGAGTTCTCGTGATGAAGCGCGAAACAAAACTCACTGGACATAGGGGCAATGAGATCGCGATAGGTCACGCTATTTGTCCCATGGGACAAATAGCGATATACGAAACGCATTTAAGGAAAAGACAATTTGAATTGTAAATAAATAATTTGCTGCAACAAATTATTTATTTACAATTCAAATTGTCTTTCCCTTAAATCCGTTTCGTATATCGCAGTGAGAAACCCACCATGCACGCTGTGCACGGTGGGTTTCTCACTCGCTGCCATCTAGCATTGATGCAGCGGGTGTGCTAGCCATCTGGCACACCCGCTGCCATCTAAAAGGGATAATACAACAAAATATCGGCGCCTATTTCTTGGTCGATACGTGTTCCTGGGAGCAGTATGACATCGGACACCCTAACCTCTCGTTGAAAAAAGACGGGAAAAAAATTTTTAAAACGAATTAAACGGCTAGGAATTGGTACCTGGGAGATTTCGCTAAAGCCTCGTTTGTAATGCCCGTCTAGGAACATTGACAGGTAGAGACGATGTGCGTCTAGCTTAGAACAATAGTATCGCTGATGCCCCATGTACGCAAGCATGTCTAGCGTGCGCGTGAAAGTAGCTTTGGCAAGTATGTAATTGCACGCACTTGTCTGCACGAGCAGAGTTATGACGGTGGCCAGATGCCCTTTTTTCAATTGCCTTGACGTCAGCCTCAACTGCAGCTCTGCGAGAACTGAGACAGGTTACTTCATGATTGCACCGCATGTCACGTGCTCTCCGCTGGCTGCCCTTAAAGGGGACGTCACACATGGTACAGACTTTCAGGTCGTGCATGTAGTCTTAAACAGAGTATGTCGAGGGTTTTTTGCGTGCTTCTAAGTGAATCAGTTACCAAACATTATTTTCCCACCATCAAACGTCTTGTAATCAGTTGGGAACGTGGCTTACTGCCCACTTTATACTATTTCTGTCGTCACACTTCAATGTTGCCAGTAGGGGCTTCCGGTTTGAGAAACACGTTGAAAACGAAATTCAAAAATTCAATAACTTCGCGATTTTTTTTTTCTCACAATACTCGGGGAACTCGTAGAGCCATATGTCTATCGGTGTGTTGAGCCAATTTTGAGGCAAATTAGCGAACATAAAAAAATCGCCGGAGTACCGCTTTAAAGTCACTGCATCCTGAGAACGTAGTGACATTGCTTTCCCTACCTGGTATCCGGACAGAAACAGATATTAACATACAGACGACCAAAACCTCGCCAGGCGATCGGCTAATCTGTCTACGTTGCCATGGAAATAGCCATCTTGGTCCATTTAATTCTCCTAAACTTCCAGAAAATCGTTCTAAACCAGTCGCGCCAAGATCATCATGAAGTATCATCGTACACTGTTAGTAAAAATAACACGCCCAGACGTGTAAACCGTTGTCCCATAGCGGACACGTCGAAACGTGATCGTTTTACACGCAGCTATCTGTGTTATTCGCCTACACACAAGGTGCCGTGCAAACTTAACACGCTACACCGTGTTTGCCTTCCGAGAAGCACGGTTCAACGTGTTCCTTATGAAACATGGCGGCCAGCAGCCGAGAACAGGCGAGAGACGAGCCCAGCGAGCCACGCCTTTCAGCCGAACTGAAAGCACACAGGACGCATTTGTTCTCGTTCGTTGTCTTTTATGCACAGTTAACAGTCTCCAAGCGACGGACGTAGCTACGTGCAAAGGTACGTACGTGCGTCGTCGGCGCTCGGTGGCGTCGACAGCTACAACAAAACCGCTAGACAAAAAAAAAACGGATACCGAATTTACATGCATAAATAACTCAAGCAAACTACTTGGAATCGGGCGGTAACTTGCGCCACCTAGTGAGCTTTCTAGCAACCAATGAAAAAAAAAGCAGGAGTCTGTTAATACGCTGGGAACTATCACGAGTAGACTGCAACTCTACATACATTACAGACAACACGAGCACCACGTAGTACACAGCAGCGACACATACACAAACAAAACTCCGACACTACGCCCGACACTTCCTACTAAACTCTGTTTCACCTTATGATGTACCGCAGGAAAGGCTACAAGCGTGAACTCCTTGCTCTGGGGCACATCTCGGCGGCACAAGCTCTCGAGCGTTAAGAGCAGCTCCCAACGCTATGAGCTCGCGCTTCTAGCCTTCTCTGCGGTACAATATAAGGTGAAACGGAGTATAACATCGTACTCTCCCCGCGGCGTATATAAGCTTGACATGTGCGGGTGAGCTCTTTGGTCGCTGACCGTTATAGATTTATAGAAGACACAAAACACGGCACAATGGACAGCCGTATGTAAGAACTGTTTCCATTTAAAAAGTATGGAGGCAAAATCTGTAAAATTAGTCCGTTGCAAAAAACAACGATGTACTAACGATAAATCTTGAACAGGCCATGAAAAAGTTCAAATTTTTGTTATTTTCATGCTCGACCAGTGTTATGAGCAGTCCGACTAGCTTGAATCAGATGGAAAAACAAATGATTGGGATTTTATCAGTACGTATTCAATAATCAATGAAAATTATACTTGCGCAAAGCATTTTTTATATATATTATTGTGAAGGACATCCGCAGAACACTTCACTTCCGCTAGTTGTAGTACGCGTACGGGAGCAGACGCCTGCACTTTTGGGGCGTTTTGATGCAGATTGTTGTCGTATGTCGTGTTGGTGTCGAGTGGAGCGGTGAGGCTTGGGAGTTTGTGACCGGTGTTATTCGCGATCACTGGTGTGGCGCTGATGCGTTTTTTTTTTTTTTTTTTTTTTTTTATAGCGACATTAAAAATTCACGGGCCCGTGGCACTGCATTATGCTGAATCGCGAGCTCCTTCTCTGTTGACGTCGTTTTTCTGGTAGCACTCGTGGATACTGCAAGCGTTTAAACAGTATGCACCGTCTCGCCTACATCCGCAGTGACGTACTCGACCTGTTGAAACTTATTGCTTCCGTCATGTTGGAGTACGCAAGGCAATTATCTCGCTACTCTGATTTCGGTTATAAAAGCAAGGCAAAACGCTCGTAGTTCCCGCTCTCAGTACACGTTGGACATCTTCCACACTTTGACACTGGATAACTGGATGAACGAGGGTTTACATTTACTTCAGAGGTCACTCTCGCCGCTTCCTCACCGTCGAGCAGCAGGATCAGCTGGCAACAAGTCGCGTATGAAAGGCTTGAGCATCAACAGCCCAAGTGCACTCGGTGCCAATGCGAGCGATGCGGGTTTCTGTCAACCGGTAGCCAAGCACAGACCGTGACCGTTCCAGCTCTTCGTCATGACGCGGTGTTGCAGAGAGCAGAATATAATACCACTACACGGACCACCGAAGCGAACGCACTGTTATCGTAAATCTTGGCTTGTGATTGCGCCTAAATTTGTAGATAATCTTATTCGTTTTTCTGGAGACGCGAACGACGGGCATAACAAAATCGTTTGCATATTCCGCATACCTCGCAAAAGCATCAGTCACCTTGCGAAAAGCGCAAAACACGGTGTCCGCACCGTCCTGATTTCCCAGTCTTTTACCTGCTTTAGAGCAGTTTGTACCTTGTGGGAGCCACTGGTTTCCCTCCCCCGAGAAGGCGTAAGCCGAGGCCGTTCCGGGCGAAGCCGTCTGACTTCGAGCCCGGTCGCTCCGTATCGTGTCGGAGAGACTACGTCACCATGCTGACCCACTCTCTCGCACTCCTCCGCGCGTCTCCCCGATTTCGGGGGAACAGCGACATCGCGGTGGGGAGAGTCGGGCCTGCCCTCAGAGTGGACGGCCGTGTGGTCGTGGAGTCCTGGATTGGACTCCGGGCAATGGGTCGAGTCACAGCGCGAGCTCGTCCGACCGACGACGACTCCACGCTAGCGATTCCCCTGGCTCTGACAGTCGGCGTCCCCACAACCTGTGGACGTCCGTCTGCCGAGAGCCCCGGCCCCGAATTCCTGCAACGATGGGTAGCGGCGAGAGCTCGTCCGACCGGCGATGACTCCGCTCGCCATTACCCCTTTGGCTCTCAGGTCGGCGGGCGATGCGGGCACTGTGTCCGCGGCTCGCTTGACCACAGTGTCTTGTTGGGGACCCCTGGTGCTCAATAAACGCTGCCGGATATTGGGATCATCGTTGTTGGCATGGCGTTGGCCGAACCCGGCGCGGCGACCGCCCTCGCTGGTAGCCGTCGGCCGCGCGATGGGACGGGCAACGGATTTTCCCCTCTGAGCACCGGACCGATCTCCAGACGTAAAGGTGCGTTATCCTCCCTACTTTCATTCCCACAAAATAGCGCAAAAATGTGGAGGTCTCAAAGGGGTGGCGCCGTCCGGCAAGGAGGCCGACCGCTCAACCTACCACTCCGCAGCGTATCATGCTAAGCGCTGCGGCGGGTTCGACTGTCAGCTGAAACCGTTAGCCGGGACTCTCAAAAGGGAGCACACGGATACGCCGAAGGCAAGGGATAATCGGGTGTTTATTTTACGAGTTAATCGTATACAGATAAGAA